TCTCTGCTCCCACTTTGGAGCGGTGCTCAAGGACACCAGAACCGCTCACACGCGGATTGTGGCAGGCAGAGGATTCCCCCTCCAGCACGGAGAGCTGCAGCTCAGCTGCGCTGCTGCTGGGATGGGGATGCACAGCCACATGCCGTAGCTCTCACAGCACCCTCAGTTTGGGTAAAATCACTCAGCAGCAAAGCTATCCCCATCCCTGGGTGTGCGGGATCCAACCAGCCCCGATCCTCACCCCCAGAGGCACAGGCAGCAGGTTTTGACATACCCACCCTGGCTCCCGGCCCCGCCCGGGATTCCTGGTAGGGAAGGCTGAACCCTGAGTATTTTCCAAGATAAATACTCTGGGTTTTAGGCAGTTTACTCTATGGAGGCCCTTTGCTGCGGCCCGTCTGCTCTGACCAGATGCGGGAAGTGCCGCGGCACCTCGTGCCAGCCCGCCAGGAGCAAGCGGCTCGTCACCCGTGGGAGCGTGATCTCCCTGGGGTGCGGGTCCGCGCCGGCACCCTCCCGGTGAGGAAGGTGACGGAGAGCCAGCCCGCTGCAGGATCTGGCCCGTGGTGCTGCAATCACCGGGGTGAAGCCGGGGCTCCCCTCGCAGGAGCTGGGGCCCCGCAGCCCTCAGCGGAGCCCGTTCTCCTGATGGCACAGTGCCGCGGCCATGCCGAACCCCATCGCCCCCCAAAGAGGACGGAAAAGCCGGGCACAGGCATCCGCAGGCAACACCAGGGAGCTGGAAACAGCCACTTCACTGATGGGAACTGCTCTGCACTCACATTTCAAAAAAAAAAAGGGGGCGGGGGAGAACAAATATAATTTTTTTTCTGCATTATCCATGCACCAAGCTTGGCTTGATAACCTCACCTGAACACGGATCACTCCTGTCCCTGCATTGAATCTTAGATTTTAAGCTCAGCATGAGCTATTATTATCATCCATCTCCTTTGTAACCCTGGCCAGGGACTTTCGCTGCTGTACCAAAACAATAACTTCTGGTTAAGCCTGCCAAAAAACTTCTACATGGATGTTCTCTATATATTTTGAAGAAGGAGAAAAATGCACAATAAACACCTTTTCATTACAGCAATCTTGCGGATTTGGGGTGTCCATGTGTGCGTATAGGCTTGTACTGAAAGATAAGTTTAACAATCGTGTGATTTCTCCCTTTTTTTTTTAACTCCCCTCCTGCTTATGCAGTGAGTTACTAATATCCTGATTGGAACCAGATTTGCATGAATTAGAAGTCGAAATTGGAGCAGCAACTGCTGTGCAGAGGATGTAAAGGGAATAAAATGAATGGGGTATTAACCTTCAACCACTGAATATTAATCAGTGTTTCACAAAAAAGAAAATACAGAGGCTGCCACACTAAATATTTTTAGCATTTATTGACGGGCTTGATTTCCTCTCTCTTTTAGACCTTTTGCTTCCAATCATGGACCATAAAAAATCACATAGAAGATGGGGAGGGCTAAAGAGGGGGATGGGGTGAAGAAAAAAATAAAGATCATCCATTTTCTTAAATGCTGGAAGATATTTGTGAGTTATGCAACACAGAAACCCAGCTAACAAACAGAGTACCTTATCCCACAACTGATCGGTTCAAAGGCTCATTTCTCCAAGTCCCAAACCAAACAGAAATCTACCCTGAAGTACACCGAAGCCTTCGGAAATGAATGCACGATAAAGAAATAAACTTCTTAAAAGCTAAACTTCCCGTGTGCTGAAAGGTAAAATGCAGTTGAAAATCAGCCTAATAAAAGAATCAGCTCATTAAATGAAGAATTTTTTTTTTTTTTTTTTTTTTTTTTTTTGCCCAGTGTGCACCAGTGCAGTTCATAAAACAGCTCCATGGAAAACAAAATATAAAAGCTTACCGAAATGCCCCTTGAAATGGTGATATCTCCATCGCACTGGAAACACTTTGGCCTGAGAGCAGTAGCCAGAGCACGGCTGGAGGCCGCGTCCCCCCGCGTCCCGGGGGGGCTCAGCTGTTCAGCGGGCTAGCAGCTAAATTGGGGGTTTTTTCGGCGTTAGCAGCCGTGGCCGCGGCTCTCCTCAGGGAGTTGTGGGGTGCGGGTTGGGCCCGTGGGTGCCATGGGTGGTCGGGGGCGGCTGCCAGGGCCGGCGCCAGGAGCGGGGGGTCCCGGGGAGGTTGGGGGGGGTGGGGGGGGGTTCATCAGGCAGAAAAGCACAACCCTTCTCACCCCCACCCCGGTGCGAACCAGCTGAGAGTGAAACCACATCAAATTGCATTGACCAAACCATGTCACCCCAGCGTTTTCTCACAAACACCTAAAATAACCAAAAAAACGCGGTAGTGGAAAACTACAGAGCCTCTTCTTTTGCCATTTCTCCCCTGCAAAATTTGGCACGGGGGGGTTTCAAAGCCAGACGTCCCTTGAAATCTCTTTTCAGCAGAGACAATTCCCTCCCTTCCAAACACTGCTGCCCTTCTCCTTAATGCACCTTTGCAAAACAGAATTCATTTGTTTTCATTAACTTCTTATCAAGTTACCTGGATTTGTTTCAATACTCAGAATGTATTAGAGAGAGGGAGAGAGAGCAAGAGAAAACAGTGGTAGGTTTTCAGGAAATAGCAAGTTCTTTTTCACTGAGATAGAAATCATTTGGCGAGCCACAGTGAAATACTTCTAGGTTCCAGAAGAAAGCAAGGGGGGAAAAAGTAAGCAAGGAAAGGGAAGATGCTAATGAACTGCAGAGGAGACAAAAATAAAGCTTAAAAGAAAATGAAAACAAAAGAAAAAAATGAAACTCAGTGTTGGTCATACATTCACATCCAGCTGATCCATAGAGGGAAACTGCAATGTGTCTCTAAGTCACTAGATAAGGACCTACCCTCCTTTCTTGGGAAATGGTTAAGGATAGGTGGCGTTAAAGGCCCAGAAATGATCAGCATTTGGACCCTTTTTGCCAATAAAACCCTAGGCACCAGGTCAGCAAAAATTTTAGGGGCGTACTTCCCTTCTGCCTTAGTAAGACGAGAGCCCAGCAAGTATCTGTGTCAGTGTAAATAGCAATAAACATGCCTAACTTGGGCACACACTTAAGTGCTTTCTTCTTAAACAGCAATAACTGTGTTGAAGTTGTGCTAAGCAAATTCATTTGGTGCTCTAAAATCTCGTAACATACCAAGAACCACTGGGTTTGCTTTAACTCCCGAGCGTTAGACCGACACAATGAAGAATTAGGTCTGACTTAGGCGGGGATCAGCTGCCGCCAGTCCCGTTGGGCAGCTGGAATCAGGTAAATACCAAAGCATTTTTCCCAGGAGAGGGCCAGGACAGCCCAGCACCTCCCCAGCCCCCTCCCAGCACTCCCAGGAAAGCGCTAAGGAGCCGCCTGCCACACGCCCGCACACCTTGGCTGATGTGCATTTTCCAGCCCCAAGCACAAAGCTGAGTTATTCCATATTCTCAGGCCCTTGGTGCTCACTCGGCTTCTTTCCTGGGGAGGAAAGGGGGATTTTTTTTCTTTTTTTCCTTTTTTCTTTGCATTTTCTTGGAAACAAGGCTGCATTCTAATTAGTTTGCATTTACAGGCTGCATAATGGAAACATGATCCCTCCTCTAACCTTTATCATCTGTTTCTTATCTTCAGAGCTGCACAGTCCCCTTAACTCTTAGTGCACAGGGAGACATTTAAAAGCCCTTCTGCTCTGAGGAGAGCCGCAGTGAAATGGGAAGGAGGAAGAGGCAGCAACCCCCAATCCACACGCGTATCGTGGGGGGCATGGGGACACGGCTCTCTCCTTCCACCCCATCTCTGCTGGCACACCGTCCCCAGGAGATTACAGGAGGATGCTGGCTGCTGCGTTCACACGGGCCGTAGCACCAAAGGTACCGCGGCATCCCCCTGCTTATCCTCCCTCAGCATCTCTCCGTACCAGCCGTAAAGGCTGCGGCAGGACAGCGCGGTGCGCCCAGGGCCGCGGGGGATGCTCCTGGATGGACCAGGGGTGAACGGAAGACACCACCTCTCGGGCATGCTTTGACTTCATCTCTGTCCTGCCCAGACTTTCGCACCAGAGGGCTACAGCAGCTCGAGGGGCAGCTTGCAAACAAGCATGAAAACGCAGCCGGAGGGAGCCCGCCAAGGCGCTCGGTCAGCCCGCTCTGCAGCTGCTAACGCCGCTCCGGCCGAAGCCGGCGGTAGCGCTCCCAGAGCAGTTTGGCAAGTGATGAGCGTTCCGCAGAGCGAAAAGTTTAATCGCTTGTTTAGATCTTAAATAAGCCTCGTGCCTGAAAAAAAAAAAAAAAAACATCTTTCTGCAGCAAGTGTCTTCGGTTAGGCGTTTGTATATATAGCCCCTTTGAGCCGCACGTTAATTGTAGGTTGCTATAAAAAAGTTTTTTCCCCTTGCACATTTTAAATCTGTCAGTTTTGATTTCCATCACATGCTACTAATGCGAAACGTCCTGGGGACTCTCTCGGCGTGGAGCAGGGCTCATCCCGCGCAGTTCCTCCCGCGCTGGGAGGGGAGGAACCTTCTTTGAAGTCCTCCTGGTGATTCATGTCCGAGTCCTTCCTGTTCCCTCCCCGGGAGAGGTTTTCCCGGGCTGACCTGACCTCCTCTCCTCTCCGCCTCCGTGGCAGACGCAGGGAAGATCAAGTGACCTTCCCAAATCCCAGGTCAAGGAGGAAAGCCTTCCCGCCTTGCTGAGCCTTCGGCAGCGAGGGGACCCAATTCTTCCAGTTTTACACCAGAACTGGATTGGATGTAAACATACGGGAAGACAACCTGTTTCAGCCTTACAAATACTCTGGGGTTTTTTTCATCTGGGAGGGATCTATTAGGATCTTTTTCAGCACTAAGTTCAGGGAGTTTCATCAGTGATTATGGTGGTGAAACAAACAAAAGCCTTACTTGTTGGCATCCACAAATCTCCATGCTGCATCTTGCTTTGATAATAGAAGAGTGCCAGCTGGATTTTTTGGTTGGTTTTGTTTTTTTGGTTCTTTTTTTTTTTACTGTTTCTCTTTCTTCTTTTTGTTTTTTAAACAGTCTGTATTGCTTTTTATCCATTATCCTGTGCACGTGGTTCAGCCTTTTACAAAAACAAAACAAAACAAAAAATCCCTAGGTGTGAGAAGATTAAAGATTTTGAGATCTGGACATTTTCAAATCAGAAACAGATGTTTAAAATAAATCAGGCTGGCGGACAGCCACCACTTTGAAAAGCCAAAAAGCCGTTGCATTAAAAGGATCCCCCAAAAGCCTGAAGAGAACAAGAGCATCATCAATTCTGTCCATCCCAACAGCAAAGCCAGGGCCAAGACAACTCCACAGAGTTTTATCATGCATCTCCAAGGTCTGTGCTGTCTCCTATCCACATGAATGTCACAACTGTTTTTTCACCAGCCCTGGTGATTTCTGGACACACACACTCTGTCCACACATCTCAGCATTTCAGCATGCTCAATCTTCTCCAAGAAGACCTCAAACCCAACCTCTTTTCTGCATGGCCCACATCACCTTCCACCAAGATCTCCAGGGGAAATTGCAAGGACAAAAGCTACAAAAGCCCCAGTCTCACCCGAATTCATCAGGCAAACAAGACAACCACCCTGCAAAGGCCCAGGGAATGGCCAGAGCCCTCGCTGCTCCTGTGAACAAAGAACCCATCCCTGCAGGGATGTTGGGAAGAAGAAGCAGCTGAAGCTGAAGAAGACCACTGCTGGATCCAAGTCTCCTGGCTCAGTCAGGGAGATGCAAACAGTCGGGAGGAGATGGCTCCAAGCTGCCACTTCTACCCCTTCCCAGCTGCTTTCTGCCTGAAACATCCAAGGTGTGCATCAGAGCTTGGACTAACTCATCTCCCAGTTGAGGCCCAGACCATAAAACCACACATGCTGACCAAACAAGACCTCAAGTCCAGTCCTTGAGTTAGGTCAAATACGCATCATCTCACCAGCAGCAACTGCTGTACAGTACCAAGGACCCTGAGCTATCTTGAAATTTGCTGGCATGAGCGCTGAGCAGGACCTATCACGGCTGAAATGCCTGCCCAAGAGGGTCCATCACAGCTGGGATGGAGCTGCAGACTGCCAGAGCATCCAAAATAACCAAGTTCCTTCCTACATGACAGGGTCAGTGCTCTTCCAACCAACAAGAGAACATCCCAGAAAGAGGACAAGGCACTTTGCTCACCACCTCCCAGTTTTCTCATTCTGGCATTTTCCTGGTTATTAGCAGGACAACCATCTAGAGCAGGACTGCATTTTGGAGACCTAATTGGTGAGAAGAAAAAAAGAATGAATGTAATTACCTCACCATGATGTTCAGAACCTGCTTTACATGGAATAATATTCTTCGTCCTACAGTTGTTTATAGGGTCTTTAACTCTTCCCTTTTTATAGGGGGGTTTCTGAAATCAATTTTATTAGGGGAAAAAGATTTGAGTGTATTAGGCAAAGTGCCAGTAGCCATGGTAACCTTGGATTTTTCCATCTTCATTACAAGTTCAAGTAAAACCTTCATATAAAATCTAAATGAAAGGGTACATTATAAGTCCATTTTGAAATGTTTGCCTGGAAGTAAAACTTTGGACTGCATCCTTTTTTCTCCGCTGAACATTCTGGTTCTATGCGGAACACATTTTTCAAGTCAAATTTTTGTTTTCTTTCAAATTTTATTCCGTTTGCTCATACAGGGTGGGTCGTCTAGTGGTTAGAGCAAGGCATCAAGGCAACTGGTTTCCAGTCTCAGTCTGTTCCTGATCGGTCAGAGAGTGTTCCCAATTTTATCCAGGTGACTTGGGCAAATCTTGTCAGTTCTAAAAATCGGTTTTTTTTTGTTGTTGTTCCTTACCCATATAACAATGATGATAATTCATGTCCTGAGGTTGCATCAGGATTCATGCATCAGCATTGAGAAAGAAGTCACTCCACAGAAGAGTAACTCATCTCTTCCACTGCATTTTCTTCTGGGCCTGGAAGCCAGACTGAAAGGTTAAGGAGAGGTAGTGGTTAGAGGATGTCATGAATTGCCTGTTTTCTTTTCAAGGACTTGATTAGGAAATATGAAATTAGGCTGCCTGGTGTAGATACTAACACAATGTTGTTCTAGGAGATACTCGATATACGTAGACACTTGGTGGCACTTGAATGGATTCATTCTTGCACTGTGTCATCTTAGAGTGTTCTGGTTTCATCCAGCCTTGGGAGGAGGCAAATTCTGCAGCTGCCTTTCATTTCTGGGCACCGTCTCGCCCGGGGCCAGAAAGCCATGATCACTGGGAGGACTTCCTTCTCAAAGAGTCCCCTCCAGTGCACAGAGCTGAGCAGCGTCTCTGAGGCTGAATCAGAAGGAAAAATCTCCTCTCCAGCCTCGGTCCAGTCCATGCAACACAGCCCACCCTCGGGGACCCTGTGGAGCGTCTGGTGCTTCGTTTTCCCTGGGAAACACCTGGAGACCTCATCCATGGGCTGCTCTCAGGGCTACAGAAACATGGGCTGATGCACTGTAGGGAAGGAGAATTTGTAGAAATGCTCTGTACTAATCCCCTCATCTTTCAGCCCATCGATGGGCATCATCAATGGCCAGAGCCGGTTTGGGCTCAACCCCTGTGCTGTGGCTGCAGTGCATTTTGTCTGTGCACGGGCGGAGGGTATTAAACTGGCATCTCAGTGCTTCGTCCCAGCTCCAGGCTGGCTGCAAATGCTGGGGGCACAAATCCCGCCCACTCGTGCTAAAAACAACACTTACCTTCTCAAACGGGGTTTTACCGGAGCGGCTCCCTGGTCCTTGCACTACATGGGGTGCAGCATCTGCCCCCCGTGGGGCAGCTTTGACCCTGAAGGGCCACCACGTGTGTCTCAGGGGGGCTGGAGCCTGCTGGCGGGGAGCGGGTGGCAATGCCACGCCACGTGCCAAGAGCCACGGACAGCAGACCAGGCAAAAGCACAGCCAACCCTTGGGCGCTCCTCGCTGGGCAGGGACGGGGCGCAACCCGGCCTTTAGTGCTTTTCATTCTTTCTAATGATGCTGGAAAACATTTTCCACATCTGCCGTTAGACTGAAAGGAGACCCTGCTCCTGTTGAATCTGATTTCCCTTCTGCTCCGTTACAGTTAAAACTACAACCTGCGGCCTCCTGGCCGTGCACGTTTCGGGAAGGGGAGGAGGGGGGTTACAAACAGTGCAAGGGCTTTTTCTTTTTTCGATACATCCTTCCTTCCTCTCTTCGCAATCAATTAGTGGGCAAAGACTTCCGAAAAGCTCTTTCCTCCCTAACCTTTCGCAGCCTGTTGCGATAATGACTCTGGAGAGCTCGACCTGGGCCTTTGCGTGGGGTTCGTTACCTTCCCGGGGCAGCGGAAGGTGACCTTCATCACTCCCTCCTCTTCCTTTCCTACCCCTGCAGCTCGGATGGTCTCAGGGAGGAGGAGGAGGGGTTGAAGCTGCCTCACTCCCAGCAGATAGAATTTCTCTCCAGTGTCATTTTTGCAGTCGAAAGTCAGAGGGTGGTTCTAGAGATAACATAGGCTCTGGGAGGTGGAGGGGGGGGGAGCTGCCCTTAAAAATAATGATTATAATTATGCATACCTTGAATCAAGACATCAGGCGATGGAGGGAAAAGGGGCTTTCTGGTTTTAATTTGTAATTTCTTTCTCCTCCTCTCACAAGGCATGCTGCTTTCCAGAAACCAAGCTCCAAGCTGCTGCAACTTCCCCCCAAAACACAGCTTACAACCGGAGCAACTTACTTTGTCAGCAATAGCGGGTTTTTTCGGTCCTTCCGTGATGCAAACACACAGGTAAGAAGTACTAGCAGAAGTTTTCCCTGGCACCTGCAGCCGCTTTCACAGCCCATCTGCCCGGGGATGGTGTCTCGTGGGCTTTTCAAGCAACACCTTGTCCAAAAGCATCCCTGCTCCACAGGGCAGCTTTGTGCAGGCTCCCACACAGAGGGGGAAGGACAGGAAGGACGGTGGATGTGTCCTGGGACAATGCACATCCCACTCCACATTTCCACAAGGTCCTCCCCACAGCCCTGACAATACTCCCCAAATCTGGCAAGCACCTCTCCCAGTACACCACCATCACAACCTCCTTCCTCCCCCACTGCTCGCAACACCCCGCTCCCCAGAGCCACAGTCCCACCACCCCACATGTGACACGACAGTGTTTTACTGACTCACATCGCTGTCCCTAAAGAGGAAGATTTCTGGATAATTTTTCCTCCTGTCACCAGCAAGATAAACGAGGGATCCACCTCCACCGCAGCACTGTTGCTCACAGAGAAGCTGCATGGGGGGAGATACAACAAATGCGGATAAACAGCTGCTAAACCCCGTGATTAGGACCATGCAACCCCGTAAATGCAACGCTTTAAACGTATCACCCCGATACAGTCCCAGCTGCAGTGATGCAGTTCCTTCTTCAACTGCAAAGTGACCCTCTCAGGGGCAAAAAAAAAAAAAAGAAAAGAAAAAAAAAAAAAAAAAAAAAAAAGAAAAGGACATTTCTTAAAGTTATTGCCAAACTCAGATAATGCAGGAGATGTTTTTCTCCCCAGCCACCACCTGTCTTCGGAGGGTGCAAGCATCCACCTGCGCTCCAGCTCCTCTGTGGCTCAGCATCACCCCGCTTGCCCCCGCAGCACCCCGCACCCGCCTGCTGCCCACTGCAACGGCACTGCACGTAATTACAGCCGGCCCTCGCCCGCTGACGGCGCGTAATCAAAACCATCACATCCAAACCCAGCTGAGAGCGACTGGAACCACTTTGAGGTGGGAAGCCTATTACTGAGTTATAAACCTCTCCCATCCTCCACAGGAGCCTTTCATAGGGCCAGCTAGAAAAATAATAACTCAAACCCATGTGGTGAGAGGGAGAGAATACGGTGTCTCCAGGTAACAAATATTTGCTTCTTTCGCTATTGTTCCAGCCATAAAATGGATTTATTAAAAAAATTGAGAATTTTATTTCACTTGAATTAAATGTGTATGTGCCCCCTTGCTCCCCACTGAGTGCTGTTTAATATTTTTTGAGCTATGAAGTCACAGCTGAGCGCGTACGATACAGAAGGCTAGGCTCTCGATGGCTAAAATAGCCCAGCTTCGGTGGCGTCGATGGATTAGCATTGATTTACATTAAGTAAAGATTGAGCATATGGTGCGTATGTTCAGGCAGGAAGTCAACATGAACAGGTCTCGGCGTCGGCAGATTTCCTCCTCCACCATCCACCGAAACGCAGAGGTCCCAGTGTCCTTCGGCACGTGGATTGCATCCCCACTGCTCTTTAGTATCAGCCCTGCGCAGTGAGGCTAAAAGGAAGAATCAAACTTTTGAGCCACTGCTGTGAAATGAAGCTTTTTTTTTTTTTTCCCTCACCGTCTCTACTTTCAAAAAAATTCCCCCATTTTTGTTCTTCTAACCTTTCCCCGCCTTGGCCCGGCAGGGCTGGGGGAGCTCTCTGTAAGTGGGAGCTGAGCAGAGCCGTGCCCGTGACACGGCGGCGATGCCACGCTCCCGGCGGAGGCAGGACGTCCCTGGGAACATACTGCCTGCCCTTCTTGGGTTCCCAGAAAACACCCGAAATTTGCAAAATTCCACATTTTGCTTCCTCATTTACTCTGCTTGACCTGGCTCCGCCAGCCTCTCATCCCACTCCAGCAACACCCTTTGGAGGAACTGGATTCCTTTTCATGCAATCAAGCAGATTAAAAATCAAAATTTTTGATTACAGCTAGTCATTAATAAGCCCATGATGCATCCCTGCAGGGCCATGGATCCGCCTGAGACTGAGATAACTGCTACTGCTCAGGAAAACTTCCAAACCTTAGGACAAAAAGTCCATCACTACACGGTCTTTTAGGATCATTCCTTTTCTGCTGCTTCTCCCTTGAAATCTCATCTCTGGCCACTAGAAGCAGAAGAGAAAGTCAAGAGACAAGCAGAGGACACAGTTCCTACGGCTTTGCCCCTTCCTTCGCCCAAAATCTAATAAAGATGATTAAATTACATGTCTTTTCCTCCCATTGAAATCACCGCACACTGCTCAAATATTAGAGCTCAGGAAATAAGGCACGACAACTTCCCTCGTGAAACTTAAGAAGGCAGAGCAGGGGTCTGGAGCGACAGGCCTGCAAGACTGGGCTGCTCTAATTAAGAAATCACCCTGCTGAGCAGAACCTAATCTAAATAAAATAGAAAAAGGAACTTAGTTCAAAACGCTGCCTTGCGCTCACCCCCCTTCCCGCCAGCCCACCTCCCCCTCAGAAGGAACCCATCCAAGTCACAGGGAGTTTTTCTCTTCTGCTCTTTCTTGGAGGGTGAGGTAGGCTCACACAGAGCCCTGTGTGTGCTTGGGGTGGCCAACTTCCAAAGGAAAAATACACCAGCCATGTATGGCAAAAGGCTGCTATTTTTTTTTTTATTGGTGATTTTTTTTTTTTTAAATGATACTTCGCCTGCTGTTTGCTAAGGAGGGGGGAAAAACAAAACAAAACAAAGCAACAAAAAACTCCTGACAATTACATTGTCGGTATGGCTGGTCAAAACTGGTTCGGGACAGAAAACTGGAGCTTAGGTTACATTTCCCCCTCGCCTGAAAAAGTTTCTGCCTTTTGTGGAAAAATGTCAAAAAAATTAATATCACAACTAAAAAAACATTTTTTTATTTTAGAATTAAAAAAAAAATATTCAAGCCCAAAATCTCAGCTGATTTGATCATTCATCATCTCTTCTCAAAGAACTTCCTTATATTCCAGTTCACCCAACAGATCAGATTCCCCAGATGAAATAAATCTCCCATGAACCCATATCCCCACCCCCCATGCACCAGCGCCAAGGTTCATCATCCCACCAGCCCAGACCAGAGGCTCAACTATCTTCTACTGCTTGTCCAGGTCTCCTCCAACCCCATTCTCCTCTTCTCCCCATCACCCCATTCCCCACGTGCCCGTGGTTTCTCTCCCCCTCTCCAATCCGCGTAGGTGTCCCACCACGCGCTACAGCCGCTCGGTCCATCAGCTCCTCACATTCATGAATTTCATGAGTGCGAAGTTACCACGTGAGTTGCTGCTTAAAAACTCAGGCACAGAAAGATTTATAGCAATAAACAGAGGAGAACAGACATTCCCGTGTATGTTTTTAAAAAGCACTTACCTGCTTAAAAGGGAAAGTGCTGCTACTTGAAGGTTTCCTGGCCAGACCTGAAAAGTAAATCAAACAAACACTATTTGCATTTATTCATAACTCCCAGCAGATTGTTGTTCTAGGAGCTTCTGACTTCAGCAGAGTTAATCTGACTCTTGCCAGCAGAGGATCACGCTGGCTGAAGATGTTCTCCTAAAGACATTAGGAATGGGACAAGACCAGAACACCAAAACCAAACGCCCCAAGTCCATATGGTGCAGGTAGGCACCAGCTGAATGGTCATGTGGACTGAGAAACCTAAACTAGAGGACATCTCCTTTCCTCCTCCACGTGATGGGATGCAACGCTGTCAAGCACCACAGATGCGAGTATACACAAGGGCTGCCATCGCCAGCACGACATTTAATCTCTGAAAGAACCAGAGCTGTGAAAAGGAGAGGAGGGCAGAGCCCTGTGCAGCCCACCCAAGGGGGTTCACCACCTGCAAGACCGTGGCCAGTCTTGGTCCTCCCTTGTACAAGACGGGCGCGGACATACTGGTTTGGGTCCAGCAGAAGACACTGAGATGGTGGAAACCTGGGGACCGGCTGAGAGAACTGGGTTTGATCAGCCTTAGAAAGGAAGAGGATGGATCTTATTACCGTCTTCAATTGCCTCATTTGAGGGTACAGAGAAGATAGAGCCAGGCTGCTCCTGGAGAGGCACAGGACAAGAGATAATGGTCACCAGCAGGACCACAGGGCATTAGAAGTTGTTTTCACCATCACGGTGGTCAGACACTGCATCAGGGACCCAGAGAGGTTGTGGGATCTCCATCCTTGGAGATATTCAGACTCTGGCAGGTCATGCACTGAGCAACCCAGTGCAGCTGGCCCTGCTTTCAGTGGGGTTGCACTGGGCACCTGCGGAGGTCTTTTCCAGCCAAAATCATCGGCAGTTCTGCATCTCTGCACACCCCACCCAGTGCTCCCAAGTGTCCAGCCAGCCTGCACTTTCTCCCAGGCCTCTGAAGGGGTGAAGAGTGCCCCCGGACCCTTCCAGATATATTACTCTCACAGTTTCTTTTCAAACAGTAAAACCATTTCTCCGTAACTCAGCTAAAGCATTAACACTCCCATTTCAGTTTCTTTTATAATAGCCTCAGGCTACTGCCAGACAGGTTCCCGTCGCCACCATACCCACTCCACAGCAACACCAACTCCCTCACGGGGCTGCCTATTCTCCAGTGGGGAAAAAAAAAATAAAAATAAAAACAAAACAAAACAAAACAAAACAAAACAAAACAAAACACAAATACACTACAGAAGAAGAACACTGGAGTTATCAGCCAACAGAAAATGACAATGAGCCAGCATGAGTGCTGAGGTCCGCACTGCACCCACCCCACACATGGGTCCAACCTGCTTCAGCCAGCGGAGCTGCCGGGGGCTCATCAGAGGGACATCAGGGCTCTTGGCTGGTTACCTGCGGTGTTTGTGCCCGTTCCACATCCCTCAGGCTATAAAGGGGAAAAACAGGGACTGGAGTAGAGTCTGGTGGGTTTTCTCTCTTCCACGGTCACTCCTATTTTCCACCAGGCTTTGCACAAGTCCCACGGCTGCTCCTCAGACTTGGTTTCTTCCCTGTAAACCAGAAAAAAGGCTGTTTTAACTTTACCGTGCATAGTGAGAATGAAACCCACTCACAAAGTATCAGGTGAGGGATGGCCACTGTGGCATCACACAGGGAAAAGCAAACTCCTGCCAACATCTGCTCCCCGGTGGGGATGTATCGTCACCCCCCAGCAGTTGCTCCCCTGAGCACAATAGGAAGCTGCATTACCCAGCGATACGGGTCCGAGGTGGCATTACTATTTCTCCCAGGTGTGATACCCTAAGCAGTTGTGATGCGTTGGCACTCAGGAAGTAGCACCAAACAGATAACATATTCCTGCCCTGAAGAGTTTATGGCTTGAGTAGATTTTAAGTATGGGAGTGTGATGACAGACGATTTCTCAGCTTAGTGCTGCATGTAATATTTTATCAGTGTCAGAGGTGTTCTTTGCATCTGCTTCTTCCTCTTTTTTTAACAAAACCAACAGAAGACTTTCCCCTAACGTCTACCAATGACAAACTCATGGGAAATTGGTTTTCCCCTCCACCTGATTTACTCACCATGAATTTCTGCTCACTTCAGTGCTCAGAGCAGATCCTTGATATTTAGTGCAGTGTTTCCCTGGGACACTTCAGTAACTGCAGTTTCACTGCTGCCACCTGAGTGAATACATCAACACCGCACAGACTCTGCCCTCCTCCTCCATCTCACCATTACTGGGAGTGCCCTTAATCAGCATCATTCTCGTCGAATAAATGGGAAACTGAGGCAGGGAGACACATTAAGTAATTTGCTATGGGCAAAAAGCATAAGCAGAAATGGGAAATGTTTCTTTTGAACCTGCACCTCCATTTAACCCCCAGGCCAGTCTTTCCTAGGTGCCCATAATCATCCTTCCATTCTGCTGTTAGAAACACACATTTCTAACCACCCTAACCTCACTCCATTTTGCAGAAGCAGGTACCACTATGAAGGGCAGCACTGAGAGGTGTCATCACTGGGTAAACGCCAAGTAACACGTCAGGAGAAAAGACAAGAAGAAACATTCAAAATCCACAAGGAGATATTTTAAAATTCCCGATGTCCTAAATGTTCATTGCAACTTAAAATTTTTTTAGCCAAAAACATATGCACAGCCCAAAACTACAATCACCCTAATTTTTGTGCTTGATAATACATACAAGCTTTGTACTTGCACAGTGTACTCTGCTGCGTACCCACATATGGACAGCACAGATCTCCATTTTATATTACTAATACAGTTAGTGGTTTACTCGTATCTTTTGTGAATGCCTGCTAAACTTCAAGAAATAAGTCAAACACTTTAATAAAAGAGAACACACCAGAGAAGAAAGCTCAGTGAAGACAGGAAGGTGCGAGGTGACATTCAGCCACTGTCATTCCTCTCCCTGGATCATTGCAGCTCGGTTCCTCAGCCCTGCTCCAGGAGAAGACGTGGTCAGAGAGAGGATCCTACAGCAATGCTGCCAAGACCCCATACAGCTCTATAGTCTCCTTACCTTTGAACAAGTGAAACTCTCAGCAGCAAAAAACTCGATTTACTTCCCATTTCAGATTGGGGAAAGAAGGTGTTAAGAGTCTTTGAACATAGTAAAGCCAGGCCAGGAACAGAGGGAGGGCACATGTGCTCTGCATATACATACACACACGTACATAGGCATACACATACCTACACATCCGAGGGTTTATGCAAAGACATTCCAAAGTCCTGCTCTTCATTCTTCTCCTCTCCATCTCTGGTGGGGATCCCAGGGCTCCTCTGCAGACCAGGGATGTCCGACCTCCCCAGAACAGCACGGTGCCGTCGCCCGGACCACGTCCCCGTGGTGCTACAGAAACCCTGGCGCTCACGGGCGAACTCGCAGCCCGGAGCGCGCTGCAGCGAGCCGGGCGAGCCCCCCAGGCAAGCGCACAGCTCCCGGGGACCGCCTGGCCCACTTCGAAGGACAGGCTGCCCCAAAGCCCCCAGTCACGACCAGCTCCTCCCTTCCACCTCCATCCTCAACTTTGCCTTCTGCCACGCCAGAGCTTCTCAGAGAGCAGGGACCACCGAGCCGCAGCCCCGGCATCCCACCGTGAGCAGCGAGGAGCCGGCTGCTGCCGCCAGCAAGGAAATGAGGCTGGAGCCTGCTCCAAACTCATCTTTTATACGGCTTTGTTTATAAGCTGTTGGCCCGTTTCGGGAGGCAGCAGCAGCGAGCGGGCACACGCAGGGAATGGAGAAGATGATGGGTTTTAGCAAGAGTCCAAGGACACCTTTTCTTAAGCTTCATTCATAGCGGCAGGCATGGTGCAACAGCCCAGCAATTGTTCTCTCAGACGTCACCTTCCCATGGAGGCCACTGCGCTGACAAAAACCTCCCCTTACAGGCACGCATGGGAGGGAGGACTCTATTATTTTTCTAAGCATTATTTTTTTTTTTTTAAAACGCACTATCCTGCAAATATCTCCAGAGAAATTCCACCACGCACAAGACAAGGATTATTTCCCCCCCTGCCTCCCAGCTCTTCCTCCTCTCCTCGCTCTGTTATCCCTTCCTCTCCTTCTCCCTCTCTCTTCCCTTCTTCTCGGGGCTGGAACAATCTGGCTCTGTTCACCCGCATTCCTGCGGGCCTGCTCCTCGGGCTGCCCGCGCCGGGCTCGCTCCGGGCACGGGGGACGCACAAGGTCTGCATTCAGGCAGGGCAGGGCAGGAAAGCGAATCTAATGTACTCGGGGATTGTTGTGCCATCAACTTAATACCTGCACAGGGAAAACAAAGGCGCTTTAGAGAAGCAACTTCGGTGCCGTGACCCTTCCCCCAGCCCAGAGGAACCCGAGAGATAACAAGGGCTGAAAGAAAAGGCACAAACATAATTAAAACTACCCGAGCGATTTCTGGAGGTATTATAGATGATGATAGCCCAGAGGATAATAGTATTCCTGGTATTATTAACATCCACTGGCACGAAGGGACAAGCGATTTGTTTGCTTTTTTTAAGCTCTTCGGTGTAATTATTTTGGAGGGGGAGGAAAAAGTTCCTTTTTGGAAGGGAAACCTGGGTGCAGCCAGAGCCAGGAGTGGTGCCAAGCCCAAGCTCCGCAGTGCTTTCGCCGTGCAGATCTGCAGCGATGGGACGGGCATCCCCGGGGGCATGGCCACCCCGTCCCCTTCCCCCTGGGCGTTCAACCTCTGAGGTGTCCGTCCCCCCCCCCCCCAGTGTCCCTGGGTGTCCCCAGGAGGTGTCGGGGCTCCCCCGTGCCGGCTCTGGAGTCCAAGCCCATCCGGCACGGCTCAGCTCTCCATCCCACGAGCGCGTTGAGTGAAAAGCATGGTTAATTCCTCTGCTGTGGCTGGTTTCTCCTTGCCTGCGGTGTCGTGCCTGCTGACGCAACCCCGGCTGGGGCAGAGCGAGGGTGAACAAAGCTAAGCAGGTGCAAAGGATTAACGTCCCGGACAATCCTTTTGTTCACGTGAAACAATTTCAGGCTCTTGGCTAATGAAGTCCAAAACCGGGCTATTCATCTCTCTGCCTGCAACAACACTCTCGTAATCAGGCCAATCGATTCCCAAGCCTGGGCTTGCAACACGAGCGAGTGTCCCCTCCATCCCGTGCCATAGGATGGGATGTTCCCAAGCACCACGTCGCAGTGGCCATGCAGATGCCAGCCTTCTCCTTTCCTTGGCTTGAGATGCTTTGCCAGCCCACTCCCACTAGTATCACGGGCATATTCTGTAGGGTTTAACTATTTACCTAGAGAAATACCATCAGTCACTTGAGGGAAGTGCCTGTCCAGCATCTCTGGCCCATCGTACAGGCTCAAGCAAGCCAGGACCACGTGCTGTGACCAAGCAGACCTCAGCTGGGAGTTGGACGCAATGATCCATATGGGTCCTTTCCAATTTGAGATATTCTATGTTTCCAATTTGGGGTTTTGTTCCATCGGTGCTGCCGTCACTTTGAGCCTGGATTTGTTGGCCCCGCGGTGCAGAGCAGCATGTTGGGGATCCAGGTGGGAAAAGCACCAGTGAAATCAAGCAGAAAAGGGTCCCCAGGCTGGGCCAAATGGGTCGTTTTGGCAGGTGGCTCAGAGCCAAAGAACCACAACCGGTCAAGGCGAGAAAATGGTGTCAGGAGCATCAGGAAGTGCAATTTTCCTGAGAAATCACAGAGATGCTTGCAAAGACTTTTTCACCCTGGTCTGTTGCTAGATAGAGCCAAATTCCATCCTATTTCCACTGCATAATATAATTAATAGTAATACAAGCTCTGCCATTATGCAAGAAAACTGAGGGCACTTTCTGTTCCAGTTTCATCTTATTTTAATCACTGTTTTCTTGCATCGGAGTTAACCCTGTTTCCTTGCTCTGTACTCAGTGTAACCTCATTAAGCAAAAGCATAAAGTCTGTGTTATTTATTTGTTCTACATGATAAAAACCAGGATATTACTCACTGTGATAACACGGGTTAATTTTCAGTGAAGCCTCTCTTGGCAAACTTTTAATACAATGAATAACACACCTATCAGATCCAAGATAAAAGGCTGTCATATCGTAACCTCATTTCAGTCTTTGGCCCAGTAACGCTACACTTCAAAGTGCTGTAATTACGTTCCGCTGATTTTTTTCTTAATTGTTACTCATAAAAACCAAAGCATAAAATTAAATTAGCTCAGTGTTCTTTAGCACGAGCTTTGTCCAAAGCCAGAGCCCGCATCAGGCCGGGAACGGCTGTGTTAAACTCCACTTCCAATGCACCTCTCTGCTGGTACTTGAGTTTGAAATAAGGTGGACAGCAGTTGGGGTGAGTAGGATAAATTTCTAATTCTAGAATTCTCATTCTAAATATTGTCACCCAGCCTGCGCCAGAGGGTGCCAGCAGAGCTGGGGGCAGCCCTTGGCCACCTGAGCCCCCAAAGCTCCACCCGGACCTGTACCTCAACGCTCCCCTTCGACGGACGGGAGGAAACTGGGGGAACAAACCTGACAGCTGTTAATTTGTGCCATTTCTGGTAAAAGCAAAAGAGGAAGAAGCCATTACAATTTAGAGGGAAAAAGCACAAGATAGTCTAAACTAGAGTTACCACTTTAACCCGCTCTGGCTGAAGTCTTATTGCAATGCTACACCCCAGAAACAAGCCTTTCCTCCCACCCGAGGCTGCTTTAGTCCCAGCAGAGCCCAGAGCTGCTTCTGGGGCAAATACAAGCAGTATGGGCAATGCAGGTAACAGTTTCTGGAAGGCTGGATCGGCCTCGGTGACCTCAGATCACTTCTCCTGGCTTTATACTCTACCAGCGTGGGTAGAGAAATGGCCACACGACTCGAGGGCAACGGGGTTATTTTAAAATTAGATGAGGTTTCGAATAAGCTATTCCATGGATTTATTTTTCAAGTTTACCTTTTTCTTTTTGAGTATCTAGGACAGCAACACAGTAATAATCTATGCAAGAGATGGCATGAAGCATGCTATTAAACCAGGGAAGCCTTCGCGAGGTGTCAGAGCCATGATAAGTCCTGTTTAAACTTTACCCAGAGCTAAACACCAAGTGTCAACATGAGCTGCTGCCCAAGCTCTCTGATCAGGCCAGGCAAACATCCAATCAGAAGTATAAATCAAAGCCGAGACACATCCAAGTGAGACTGGAGTGTTTAACTCTACAATTCCCATCTGACCAGGACTTTCCCAGCAGGTTACCCACAGCCAGGTCTCTCCCCAGACATTTATTTATACAAGAAACCCATCTGTATGCATTATTTTTGTATTTATTTTCTCCTGGTAGGCACAGACACAAAGCAAATGCTCCACAGGGTACACGGTGTACCAGCCCTGCAGCATCCGCAGGGACCGCTGGTAAATGTTGTATTTGCTTTTCCTCCCGCCCCATCTCCCCACCACCGACCTTGCTGGCCCCGGGAATCTGTCAGCCAGCCCAAAATTGCAAATAACAGGAGGGAAAACCCACGATTCTGACCTCATGGGGGGAAGGAGAGGGAGGGTCACACGTTAGCTTGGGGGTCATCAGGCTCCCTCCGCGTCACCCTTCATCCCCCTAAACCAGGGATTATATTCCCCGTGCGAAGGGGCACAGCAGCAAGGTTCTCTCCTTTCAAGAACTCTTTAAAAAACCCCAAATGCCACTTTTTTAAACCTCCATCACAGCCCACCGTTACCTACAAGACCAGACATCCACTGCCAAGGACGACACGACATTTTGGCTGCCAACAGCAGATGCCTTGGGGAGCTCTTGGCCACAGCAGTCACACCGTTTGCTTCCAGGAGTGGATTTTGCAGTTTTTTTTCTGCCTGCCCTGCTGCCAGGAGAAGAGGGGGGACCTGCCCCCGCAGCCACCCACATCATCACCCCCCAGCTCCCCATCCCCACTGCCCTGCTCCGGCATGTGCCCATGTGTCAGCATCCATCCACCTGAACACAGGAACGTATTTCAGGCTGGCCGTCTGTCCGCTGAGCTCACTGAGCTTCAGATTAGGCCTTCAAGTGATGCAACTCATAATTAAAAACCCATGTCAATATTCTGAGAACTCTTTTTTTCTTCCAGATTGGGCAAAAGAAAGGTTAAAAAACACCATCTGTCATGGTGATTTTTTTTTCATATTTCTCTGTCTTTTCCCTCGTTAAAGGGAAGCGGGGAGGGGAGAATGTTCATTTGAAGCTTGCAACATGTTTTATTAATTGATGGCAAATAATCCTAAGATAAAGTGCACAATAAATTTTTTAATGAGAACATATGGTGGGGAAAATTGATAGGACTGAGCCTTTGAAGATTTCCTTGTGAGTGCAGTTACAAAAGGAGCAGGCAAAGACTTGCACAGGGGAGCCCAAATACTCAAAAGGAGACCAAGGCAAGGGGCAGTGGGGGTGATCGTTGCCATCACCAACCAGCTACCAAGTGCTGCAGCTAGACATGGTCCCCGAAGCGATGCCCCAAAACCCGATGGTTCACAGTCGATCTAAACTCAAAAGTGTCTAAATTCACTTGTGACTTTGATCCACTCCAGGTGTCC